CCCCCGACTTTATTGCCATCCCCATTCCCTAGCCATCCAGGTATCGGCCTACATGTAAACATGGAAGGGGGTGGTCACCTAGATGCAAGACGATGCAGAAGAGATGGCTCTTCACCAGCCATGTGCATTAGCAGGGAGAGCAGGGGCTGATTGGGAACATCAGTAGTGGCCTGAAATGGTATCCGTTGTTACGGGAAAGCCCCACCCCACCCCTTAAAATGCTTGTTTTATGGCTTGGGTTAGTTATGTGTAAGTTGTAAGTTGCTCAATTAATGGGGAGTAGCAAGCATGTCTTGTTTTGTTTTGTGGGGGTTTTTGTTTGTTTGTTTGTTTGTTTGTTTTTATGTAGTTTTACCTTTTCAGCATTATTCCACATTATTTGTAATTTTGGAATGTTTTTGCCCACAAAAATATCGTTTTGTTTTTTTTTTTTCTTTCTGTGCAACATTTCATCACTGTGTGCAATATCATATGTGCCAATGGTGGCAATATATGTATATCAATTAAATATATGATTACTATTTGAAAGCATATGGCTGAATTCCATGTTTATTTCTCATGAAGGAATTGTATGCCTTTATTTGCACACAAAGCTCCATCCTGGAGGAAAATATAGTAAACCAAGGTCTTAGCAGCCTGTTGAGTCAAGCAGTTCACGTACTTACTTTAACTTGAAATCGAACATTGTCCCTGCAAGTATGCCCCTCTCAAGGAAAAGGGTAAACTTGGCTAATGGTTTGTTCAAGGTAGACTGTAAACATACAATGGAGGGTTTTTTTTGTTTCTTTGTTTTGTTTTTTCTTTTGTTTTTTTGTGAAAAGGAAAATTTAAAAAGAAGAAAAAAAATCCCTGGAATCTCCATTTTAGCTTTAAGCTAAGAAAAGGTGCTTCAGTCCAATCCTCATTAAGGTGTATGGTGAACTGTCTTCAGTGGTTGTTGTGTGTAGCACTTTGCTTTCCCAGGTTAATGAAATGCCTGACCAATACTTGTTTAAAAATGATCTCAACAAAGAATGTTGTTCTCTTTTCTGTTACCTCTTTTTATTTAAAAAAAAATGAGGTTATTTGATTTGCTCATTTGGTTTTTGATGCATTAAATATAATTTATGTACATTTGACAAATTATAAAAAAAAAAGAATAAATTTAATTTACCCATGAGGGTGAAAAAAAATCTATATTCAAAATGTATGTGTTTTTCATGTTTCATTTCTTGTTGTGGGATGGGGGTGGGGGAAATCACTGAAAAGTCTGTTTAATTTTTATGTAGTGCTGTCTACAATGTCTGATTATACATTTGCAATGATACTAATTGCTAAAGCTTAATTTTACAGCCTATAAAATGCAAATTTTGCAATGGCGAGTACCTGATGACTCATGTCTTCTTAGAGATTTCTACAATAGTACTGTATGTGTAAAACCAGGCTGTAAAATAAAGCGTTACTTTGTTCTCTGACTATCCCGACTATGCAATTTGTGATCATCTGTATGCAACAATTGCTCTTCTGTGAGTTTTTCTGTTAATCTAAAACTAAAGAAATTAGACTTTATTGATCGTGACCCAACAGAACCTGCACATGTTTCAAGTTACATTTTTGTAATGATTGTTTTTCTTTCTTATTTTTTTTCTTCTTTTTTAATACGTTTGGTGTCAGATTTAAGCTAAAAATCAAAGTTTTAAAAAAGAGCTTAAAAAAGTTGCTTCCAGATGTTTTTAGGATGCGTCTCACTATCTTGAGTTTATAGCTATTTATAAGTAAAACTGATTCCCTGTAACAAGTTGAAGTCTTGGTTTAATTCTGTTAATAAAATGAAATGACATAGAAAATGTTAATTATCATTATGTAAATTCTGAAAATTGGCAAAGTGATAAAGCAGCACCATTTGGGTTGCTTCTAGGTTCTAAATCATGGAGCATAGAGGCAGATTTATTTCTGGGCCATCCACACGCGGTACCTTTGTATTGCTTCAACCATTCTCCTCCTATCAGAAGAACCCACATAAGAGTAAATACAGCATAACGAGCTGGGAGGTCCATTCTCTAGATATGCCCAAAGGTATTTCTCCAGGACATATGTATGTTTGTGCTTTGTTGTTAGTTGATAGTCCCAGCCTGCCAGAGGGGGATGGAGGGTGAAAAAACTGAAGTGGATGTGCTATACCGAGATGGACTCCAGCCCAGATGCCAGCTTACACTCCGACTTTGCTCCTCATCCCAGAATCTACACAGAGAACTGGTCTCTGTCGTCACAGCATGATTAAAGCATCCAAAAAAGGATAAACCCCATTTAATCAAACAAAAATTCTCTTATTAAACATAAAACACATTGTAATGTGTTCTGATGTGTTTAGAGAATCTAGAGAACTTACATTTTATTAATTTTGAAGCATGACCATTATCACATGAGCACTTTGCCACCGCTGACTATAACAAATGGCTTGCTACAAAAGCATCCTGCCCCTCGTTACGTTTTAGGTGCAGGTGTCTGCATGCATTGTATATTTACGCTGTTTTGCAGTGGAAATTTATGGAGCCATGCGGTCAGTGTGCATAAGTGCTTATGCACAGTTTTTATTCAGCTTTCGTTTAGTGCTGTAGTTTAAGGTAGTTGAGCACTGGCTTGGGTGGTGACGTAATCCATGGCAGGCTCCTTTTCTTTTTTTTAAATCGCAGCAATTGCCTTAACCAGTAGAGGCCGCTCTTTACCTAAAAATGAGTGGCTCATAGGCAGAGGAGGACAGTTAGCTGAGAAAATTTCCTCTGGCTTGAATGTGCAAACTATCAGCAGACATGGTAAATTAAACAGCAAACAGTTACTTGCATAATGCTAGAAGGCACATCGGTTGTTTCACATAATGCTAGAGGCTGTGCTAAAGTTTTGGGTAATGCTAAACGCGAACGTTAGCAAATAGCATTTCTTAATTAAAAGGCGTCGCTA